AAGCTAATTTATCTTTTGAATCAATCTGGCTTCACCTTTTGGCCAGATCTTGTTATGTTTTTCTCTGCAAGGTCAAAGGCTGCTAGCACCTACTGTTTTCTATCCCTGAAGAGACTTACTACACCAGTCACCTTTAGTCTTCTTTTGGATACTCTAAGAGAACTGTCGTCTTTAAATTTGTCAAGTACAAACATTTTCCCCAGTTCTTAAAATATTTCTGTGGTCCTTTTCTTTTGCCAATATTTTAACATCCTTTTCAGATGTGGATGCCAGGATTAGATGCAGCATCTCAAAGCAAAATTACATCCCTACTCCTACTCAGTATTTTTCCTGTTTACTTGTTCAAGGAGTACATTTGGTTACTACATTGACAACTCTTGTTTGCCTGTGTGTCCACCCAGACACCAAATTCTACTCCCCTCTCCTATATGTTATACTAACTTTCATCAGATGTCTTTAAGAAAAGTTTGAGAAGTGATTCCAAAACATGTTACAAACATGAAATGAAGACCTCAAGCCTTTTGCAACATGTGAAGCAGATGACACTTGAAACTGATCCTCAGGCCCTCCATTTCTTTCTCACCAGCCCACTGCAATAACCCTTGCCCTATATTTAAAACTGAATTCAGTGTGTTTGACACAGCCTTGGAATGTCCAGTGTATACAGATCTAGGAACTGGAGGCTCTGTGAGGAATGAAGTTCAGGACAGCTGGATAAGGAAGATCTGGAGCTCTGAGCACACAGGAAGAGCTGAAGTCCACTTTGGGTTTCTGCAGCCTGTGCTCAGCTAAGACTCGTGGTAACAGGGACAGCGTGTTACTCCTAAATCCCTTCTTCTCTTGGAAAGAAGCAGAGTTGTTATTTTTATGCAAGAACAGATAATATATTACCCAAGTTCTATATAGCAAATGTTTCAGGGCTGGCATGTAGCTCTGTCTAGCTTTGCAGCAAGAAAATCAAAACAGATCAAACAAACAGCTACTTTGGCTCCTTACTTCACATCCAGGTGCTTACTCTCTGATCATCCACATGTAATGAAGCTCACCTGTCATTCTGGAAACAGCCAGGCAGCCATCTTTCCATTTGGGCAACCTGTCCAAAGCTGGCTGTCCCTGTTTTACCCAGGTCACCAACCCAAGCCCAGAAGCTGTTGCATCCTCACGTAACTCCACAGCATTCATACCACACCAGTACATTCCCTCAATGCCATGCTGAAAAATCCCGACCCAGACCACAGTAGGGATCTCAGCTTATTTCAAGCACTTTGAAAGGAAGAAATATGATTACGGGTGAGGGTGACAGGAATACTACTAAGACAAAACATGGGACCTAGGGAAGACTGGAGCACATATGGTCCCGAGCAGTCTGCTCTTGTGGTGCTACTCAAGCAAACGCAAGCTTTCTAGTGTTGCTTGGTGGGGGAGCCTGAAGCAGACACCTCAAGTCATTGGCTATTTAATTTCATTTTTTTCCAGTGAAAAAGTGCTGAGGTGACAAGTAGTGGTATGCTTTCCCCCTCCTCCCCACCAAATCTCAACTCTGAATCTTTACTCTGGTACTAGAGAGCTGCTCTGGATTCAGTCTGGCTTGTTCAGCCTCACTAGCAGCTGACACCCATGGTCAAACTCTTTCTTTGTTCTTTCTCAGCCCACACCAGGGGCTGTCACTGAAGAGAAACAGGGATAAGAGAGGAAAGCACCCAGCCAGGCCGTCCATCGGTATCAGTGCCATTGATGATGAATGAGCCTGAGCAAAGTCCAGCTCATACACCCAGACCTGTGCCATCTCAGCAAGACTAAAAGGCAAAATTTAAAAAAAAAAGAAGAAAAAAAAAAGATGAGAAATCTTATTTTAGTCAAGCAGTAGCATCTCCAGCAATCAGTACACTTAGAGAACAGTTTTGGTGAGTAGGGAGATACTGTTCTTACAGTCTTTTTCTGTGTAAAATCGTAACACAGAACCTGGCTTTGAGCTTGTCAGCATCTATAGAGTAAGGCAACATGGTACTGCACACTCCCCTGCCTCTTTCAGGGGCATAAAAACCTGATTTAGCCTGGTCTAAGGAGGCAAAGTATTTTATTCTTGACATTTTTGCTGATAAGAAACAATGGGAAACACCTTATTTAGGAAAGATTGGTTGGGTTTTTTCTTCTTTTTTTTTTGGTATCACCTAAAACATCATTTTCAGTCTCTGATCCAAGAGGAGTCTTTTCACATAGGGCATCTTTTTTATGCTCTGCCAGACTTATTATCTGCAGAAACCACCCTAAGCCACAGCCTGGGTTAAGGTAGTGCTGAATAGGGAGCAGGGCCTCCCTGGAGCCCTGTTGTATTGTGCCACATAATTTCAAATGGCCTTCCAGAGGCTGCCGGCAGGAGAGTAAGCAACCAGCTGACATCTTCTGCTGGGTCAGCAGCCCAAAACCGGGACACACTGGTCTAAATCTCCTGGTTTATTATAACTCAGAGCAACCCAGCTCTGACGTATCCAGCAGTGAGTTTTGCACAAGGCTTTTCAGAAGTGGCACACCAATCTTCACTCCTGCCAAGAAAAAAAAATAACAAAAGGATGCTGACCCTAGCTAAGGCTGAACACTCTTCAACACCAGTTAGCAACAGCTTTTTTATCCATTTAAGTGTCAACACTGGAATATCACAGTAAAGGGCATTTTAGCCAACAAATACTGCAAAAGGAAAGATATTCATCCTTTTCTCCACACCCTTTCCTGTTTAAAACCAATGTTTCCCTGCATGGCCCACTTTGACAAGCCTTTACTTTTGTAAATTATGAGATCCAAGCCCATGTTGCCCCAAGGCTAGCAAGGCTAGCTGGGTACCCCAGCCGCATCAACCCTCAGGGAGCAAAAACGTGAGGTGTGGGTGAAGGTCCCCACTCCTTGCTGTCTGGAGCAGCCCAAACCCCTTGGCCTGACCCTTTTTTGCTAGGAACTGTTCCTGTCCGAGGGCTATGCTGCAACGTTCATTGCATGATCCTCACAACACCCCTGGGGCAAGGAGATGGCTTCAACTGTCTGGGTTGGGAAACCAAAGGGCAGATTCTCAGCTGGCGCAAACCAGCGTAGCTTCACTGGAAGCCAGGGAGCTATCCCAATTCACCTCAAATGAAAACCTGGCTCAGAAAGGTGAAGAGACATGTTATGGCCATTCCATGGGTTGACAGCAGTGCTGGGGATCCTGGCTTCCCGGTCCAACAGTACTGCTTATGTAGCTGGAAATCACCTGCAGCACTGTGTTGTTCCGATCAGCCAAGCAATGCAGAGGACAGGTCCTCAGAGCCAAGAAAAGGTTTTCCACTCTGCTCAGCAGCTAAAATTCACTGTCTTCTCTTTTCAGCAGCAGCGTGTTCAGTTTTTGCCGCCCTTCACCTTTGGCAACTGGAGGATGCCAGGAGGTATGCAATGGCTCTGCCACCCGGTTGGCTTTACCCAGTTACATCTGCAGTGGGTGGCAGGCAGACATTTGCAGCCATAGAGGACCTAGGTGAGACCATTTAGCTATGGTGTGAAAGCCAAGCAAAACTATGACAGTCCTGACAAAGCATGGGATCAGTTCCCCAGACTTTCATCAGAAAAACCTCCAGTGGGCCTATGAGGGCCTATGTGTTGGTAGGGGGAGGCCCTAGCTTTACATATCATCAGGAGCTGTAGCAAGGGAAGCTACAGAAAAGCCACACACAATGCAGACTTAGCTAGCCAGAGCAGGCTGGACATCTTGTAGGCATCAGACACGCCGCCTGTATCACATACATTTCCATAGCTTTTAATGTAGTTTAACAATTGCATTGGAGACAAAGGAGAAGGCACAGTGTACAGGAAAAAAAATCCCAAAATGATACCCTTTTATTTGTAAAGCTCTGATGAAACAACTTTCCAAATGACATCCCACTTAAAAAACAATGGAAACCAACCTAACTATGCATCAGTCACACTATACAGATTGCATCCTACATTTTCAAGATGCCTAAATATCTTATGGAGTATTTACATATATATCAGTTAGGTAGTAAAGTTTCATTGCGATTTGTTTTTTTCCAGCATATACTTATTCAGTGGCAAAAGAAAAAAAAACTCTGGGGATGCATTTGCTTTTTTGTACAACACTTCTGAGCAAACAGGCTAGGGTGATTTTCCTGAGAGAAGGCTTGTTCTTTGAAACTCTTTGCTTTAACAACTGGAAATGCAGAAAGTGGATGGGGGTTTTGTTGCGCTAAAAAGCCTAAGGATGCCTAGTTAAGTTTTTCTTTTAAGTTATTTACGTACCATTAAGTTAAAATGTTTACATTCATTCATTCGTATAAAAACTGTTGTTAAATCTTATGCAAATGATTTAACACTGATTGCTGCAACGCAAATTGCACTTCTTTAAAAAAATTATTGTATATATGGAAGAAAAGTATCTGATTGCTACCCTGTTTACAAATTTTGACTGACTCTATACAGTTCAGCCAGAAAATACGAACTTTCATAAACCTCAGTCACAGTGTACTTTAAAAGTTACATCGCAGTCTTGCAAAGTGAGTAAATATTTTAAACCAAAACAAAATAAACCCAAAATCTCCTTAACAAGCTGGACCTTGTGAGGCTTGTACCAAACGTCGTGATTTCTTCCAGGGATGTAGCTGGGCTCTGAAGAGCAGAGCAAGGCACCCTGAAGATGGATGGCATAGGAGGAGAGAACCAATGGGGCGAAGACATCAAATGTTCGGTGAGAGATGTCTGCGCTGACTCAAGCAGTACACACTTCTGACGCTTGTTAAAAAGTATCGTAATTAAAGCCTTGGGTACTCCCTTGCCGACACTGACAACTTCCACCAAATTCTTGGGGAAGAAGGCAATGAGAGAGTGAAAATAACTATACAATCAGAAAGGCAGCACTGCTGGGTAAGTCGAGGATGTATTTCGGGAACCTATCAATAAATTTAGGTTTATCTCTTCTCTTTTTTTTTTTTTCCCTTTTTTTTTTTCTGAGAGTGTAAGGCTGCATTAGTTATCCCTCAGTGGGAATTTGTTTTCCCTAAATTTTTCTTGCATAGATGAAGAACTGGATGCTTCAGCACAGCCTCTTTCGGAGGCTGAAAAACACCTCTGCTGCCCAGGCACGGAAACAATTTCAGAGGAATGGTTCTTGCCAGCACTCTTGCTGCCGCCGCCACTGCTCTGCAGAAGAAACAGTGCATGGATGTCCAGGGGCTGCTGCACAGCGCTGGGATCCAGCTTCCCCCATGCTGGGTCACGCCAGAGCCAGGGCACACCAGGGATCCTGTCTCACAGATGCCGTCACTTCGGCCGTGGAGGTCAGGCTGACTCCTGTGTACAGCCCGTCTTGACCTGAATACTTAAGGTTGCTGCTTTCGGGACTGGTGCTCTCTCCTGGGCCAGACATCACCGATGAGCTCGCCTGAAGTGGAGGGAAGAGCAAAGAGAGATTTTATTGAGCAGGTGAGCTTTGCACACACCAAGGTGTGGGTGGGAGTGCAGCAGGCTTGGGGACCAGCAGCTCTCCTACGATTTCTGTGGGAAGTCAGGGTTTGCCCTCAGCTTGCCCCTGTGCCTCAAGATCCCGTAGCTGAAAAAATGTCTTGGGGTCAGCCCACTCACTCAGCCCCAGCTGATAATCATATTTGGAGATCAGCACGTAGTTATCTTCACAGCAAAGGGGAAAAGAAAGCATGAGACATGAAGAAAAACCTGGAAATCAGACCAAGATGAAGGAGGTAATGTGCGTGTGTCCTGCTGCCCCCTAACGAAGGGACACAGATGCCAACACCAAAAATGTGACCTGCGAGCTGTGGCACCTATAATTTTGCTTCCCCATTGGAGTACCCCAATACATGCCAATTTTCCAGCAGCAAGTGTGGAGCATGTCCTGGAAATTAGCCTTTTTTGGGTCTCTCAGACCATGAAATGCCTAAAATCACTCCTCACCCTTCAAAACAATAGCCACGGCCGCTTTGTCTCAGTAAGGCTAGCCACTAAAGAAGATGCTGCTTTCATCTCAAGTGGAGAAACATTATGCCTTTGAACCCAAAGCCTGTTTGTCCCGCCACCAACATGTACAAGACAACGTGCAGGGGAGCCCTGGTAGGCACAAAGATGAACCTCTGAACTGCGCTGGAACCAGTCCATTTAGTTTAACAGAGAAATTGAGAGTTACAAAGACAAAGAAACAATCATTTTTTCCATGAGGCTGAGCAGATCTGCTAAAGAGGAAAAATTTGCAGTGCCAGACAGAGAAGGGGCAACGTTTTCACCTGATAAAGGAAATGTTTAAGAGCTGACTTCATGCAAAATTAACTCTTGGATATGTCAACTTTAAAACCTTAATTTACTCATTAATGGATAGTCTTCAGATGAGATTCCTTAAAATTAAAAAAAAACCCTATCCTAAACTGTGACTGCAGAAGTTTCCTGCCTGCTGTTTAAGTGAAAAGTATACATATTTAATCATTTTACAAGAGTAGAGCTCTTGGCTCTCCTGGAGCCGTGCCAAGCCAGCAGTCCTGACATAGGCAAAGCAAGGCTTCATTTATTCAAAGGTAATTTCCAAATGGTGCTGTGCAGGGTTATTGTTGCCATGCCTAACCCAGGGAAATCCTCATCTTCTGGAAGAGACACTCGTACCAACAGTCACTTTTGTCTGAAATATACTGAAATATTCCAAACTTTATCTTTTATTACAAGGTTTGATCGTAGTTATTCTTTGATCCAGTCATCAAGCAGGGTCCTGCTCTGTCAGTCACTACACAGAAATGCAGGGATGGAAGGAATAACTGCTTCCCCTCCCAAAACAGCTGAAACAGCTCTAAGAAATTTCCTGAGAAATATGTTTTAACCCTCTCTCAAACACACAATTGCCAATCAGTGACAATGAATCTCCCTGTGACTATGCTCGGAGAATTCAATGAGGCAGGTTTCACACTAACCTTTCTATCTGGTTTTGGTCTTGCATCAGCCTACTTTTTCAAAAAAGGTTGGGTTTTTTTTATTTCTAATACATTAAATAGAGTCCTGTTAGTACAAAAGACATCATTTTTAATAGCTTGAGTCTTCTCACAGTGGAAGAAGGGTTTAAAGTAGAGTTGAGCAGTGTTTGCTCAACCTGCGCTGAAAATACTAGGAGCTGTTTTGAAAGGTTCCCATTTGCCCATATTTGCCACTGTTGTTCCGGTAGGCAAATATCTTATCACTACCTGTTTTTTCCGGGCTTGGAAAGTGTAATTCACCCTTTTCCTGATTCAGCCCTACAAAGGTGGGGCTCAGGGACCTGAAGTTTCCATGTGGGGTTATCAGCTACCGCTCCCTCGGGCACCCCAGAAGGGAGGACACGGAGGCACGTCCTGTTTGAGGACTGCCCATCCCTGCCTGACCAAGGCCAGATCCTGCCTCCATTGAGCCAGGGCAGGCAGGACCTGGGCAGGACCGCCAGCCCTGGAAACCCCACCCCGGTAATGTCATGACAAATCCAGGCAGCTTGGGCAGCTCCCAAAGTGAGACATGGAAAACAAACTTTGGCTCATGAAAAGGATGCGGCTGAATCACAGCTCTGCTCCCAAAACTACCTGCCCCTGCTTTTACTTCTCCAGCTTTAAGGATGACAAACGACAGAGGGTACATTTAGTTATTACAGGACATTTGTTAGCTAGGATAAATAAGCTGAACAATGCTGCTGAAATTAACCAGCTCTTTCAATTCACAACAGCTGACCTATCAGTAAAAAGGTAATGGATTTATTTTTGCTGCTGAAATCTGATAATAGGATAGATAATCAACTGAAGCTCAACTTCCTGAGTCAAAAATGAATGAAGCCCATTGGGAAGAGCATGCCTTCCAGACACACAGAGGAAGGTTTTGTGTATCTGCAAATGTTGTTCCTTTTACCCAAACCAGCAGGAGCTGGTCATGGGGGAGCCCCCAGGCTGGTTGTCTGGATTGGAGGTGGCATTTCTGTAGAGGATCTGCCCACTGCGCTCACAGAGAGACCTCAGCCAGAGCTACAGAGGGACATAGACACCTACATCATACCCGTCAGCACCCTGGAGCCAAACTGACCCCCACTAAAGCTGGCCTAGATCAAAGCCAGGCACAGCCTGTGCTGGCCAGCACTTGGGAAACAGCACTGGTGTTTCTGGCTGAAGGACTCCAGCTTCCTCCCACCCACTCCTTCCTGCACCACCTGCCCACCACAGAGAACAGGGAGAGGGGAGTGTCACCCTCCCTGGCCTCCCCCGACGCCTCCGCAGCTGAGAGGCAAAAGTTCTAGGCAAGGAGTTGTGCTAACAGCTGGACGGGGTGGTGAGCGGCCTTGATCTAGACCTTTGCTCTATCAGATAGGCCTTTGCTCTAACTACTTCACGGGTTCAAATGCTCCATGAATTTTGAACATTATACTAGGTCTGTAGTAAGCTGAGTCTCAGCCAATATCCTCTTCCTCTTTGGTTAGCATAGTTTAGTTTCGTTACACTTAAATGACAACTGCAGTCAGCTGAAACACACTTGAAAAAGCTTCTTTTGCATATAACATGTTGTGGCAAATTGATTTTCCAGCCCCAGCCTCCCTGCAATAAGTGCCATCCCCACCAAGAGCGCTTTCTCCCAATATTGTCACTGTCTCCCACTCCCTGGTTTCTGGAGCGCAAGTTTTGGCACTGCAAAACCACAGCTTTTTTTTTCTGATTTAGTGACCCTCTTACTACGCAAAGTTGTCATTTCTCGCTAGTCCAATTGATCCTTTTGTTTATATTGCAGATATGTAAGTTTACATAATCTCTCCTTTGTATTATAACAAATACAAATAATTTCTGTAAAAATCTGTGGTTAATACTTCATTAATTTCCTAAGGGAGGCAACTTCCAGTGTGGCTTGGGAAAGCTGACGACCCCTTTGCCTTTGAGGGTTGTATGAGTAATTGGCTTTGGCAATAAAATATAACCAAGCAAAATGTCTGTGTCCATATGCATATAGATGTTTTGGGTAAAACCAAAAATACTCTTTATCATTGGTTTTCCCTACTGAAACAAAAAAGCTGGTTTGCCTTGCTCTGTTTGACACAAAATGAAATGTTTTCTTTTGGATACATGTACAAGGAGCAAAGAAAATAAATGATTGATTTTACAAAAGGGAGTGGGGAGAAGAAAGCAACATCCTATTTTGTCCAGGAGTGAGGATTAATGCAGGAGAGGTAGGAGACCAACAGAAGATGTTAGTTGGAGTATCAGACCTCCCAGCATAATGCCCTGACTACCAGACTATTTGGTATTTTAGGTTGCCATGTTCCTCATGCCTCCTGTTGATCTTATTCCACCTGGTTTAGATAAATATTTACTCATACCAGGACTGAGGCACCGTGTTCCCATTTTCCAGGTGAAAGTCCTAACAACCTTGCTGGTGAGTCTTTCTCATGGAAACTCTGTCCCGGCAGCTACAAAATTATTCTATAATAACTGAAATCTTATCAATAGATAGTCCGAAGGACCCTCAGCCATTCAACTTTCCACTACCTGGGTGTTTAGGAGATTTTTTTAAAGAGATTGAGTATCTGGGTTCATCCAGACATTCGGTTCTGGTTCATCTGGGTTCTTTCAGATACAGGGAGATACTGTACGGAGACTGATTCCCTGCACAAATGTTCTACCAATCTGCTGCCTAAAAAGCAGTGAAGAATAACGCCTCCAACCACCTCACAAGCCTTCTTCTGAAAACAAAAGAAAGCAAATTCAGGAAAACGTATTCAGTGAACTCAGCCCAGGTTGTTGGCAATTTTGGGGGACAGTTAGAACTGCATTTTGCAGCTAGCTCACCACTGACCAAGGCCCTTACAGTCAGCTCTTCCACTTTCCAGCCTGCAATAGTGAAGAACCAGTCCTGAACCACCTCTCAAGGTAAACCTCCATGGGAACTAAGCACTAGTTTTACCTACAAGACAACTGTCCTAAGTTATTCTATGGAGCATGATTAAGGTTCTTCTAAGAAAGCTCCAAACTGGAGGCAAAGGGCTGTGTACCATCTTTTGAAAGAGGAGCTCATCGGGTTCTGCTGAGCCTTTACTGACATCAGCCCTGGCTCAAGGAGCCTCCATGTCCTGCCATAAAAAGCAGATTTTACAGCAGTTTTCATAGTGCCTTTTATCCTAATAAGGGAAAAAAAGTCCTTCTGGTAATCACACCAGTTGGAGCCCCTGCATGGAAATGGATGGGTGTGTGCTACAGAGCATGCTCTTTGTTTCTCAAATTATTCCGCATAGCTTTTCTCTGTACAGTTTCAGCAGCATCAAAGGGAGAGCAGGTATAGAGGCAGATTGCAGGCTGTCTGAAACCTTCAAGTCTTCTTTTTATGGGGATGTAAGGCAACTTCATATATCATGCAGCTGGACCTTTTCCATGTTAGTAACACAGGACACCCAGTACTTATACTGCTTAGGAAAACAGAAATAGGCCAAAATCCTAGATCCAGATGTGAATTTGGCAAATAGCCCCTTTGCAATGGGACAACGAAATATCTCCGATCCAAACACTTCTACATTTTGGGATGTTTGAAATCAACTTTGCACCCACAGCAATTCATTAATTATATCTTTTAAATGTTTAAACTTCAGCCAGAACATAAAATCAACATTTAAGGTTCTTTTTAATTTGTCTCAAAATTGGCATCATGTAGGATTTCCTTCATGAAACAGACAGTCTCAAAGACATTTTCAAGAGTAATTGCTGCCCTTCTCTTTTTCTGCCCTCCTCTCTTTATTTTACTTTAAAAGAGATAAAGAAAGGTAGGGCAAAAAGTAGGCGTTACTGACACAAATGAATTCAGCTGAATTTCATTTCCATTAGATTTCTACATAGCTGGAACTCTTTTGGCAGCCTCCCATAAAAGGCATAATAAATTGCTTTTGTACCAGTAGAAGAATTCATTTTCTCAGTTTCATTTAGCAACAACATTGCTGTGAATTTCAGACAACAGTTTCTAAAACATCATCATATTTCTCTGCCTAATGTCAAGTTGGCATTTTTCCCCTCTTCACAGAAAAAAGGCTGGAGAAGTGAAAACAAAGCAAAACAAAAACAAGTTGCTGTGCAGTTGTGTAACGCACGGGGAATGAGCCAGGTTCACTCTTCCAGCAGGTGCCCACGTTTCAGCAAAGTCACCAGCACCGCTGGCAGGAATCGACACTGTTCTTATTAAAGCAGCCAAAGATTATAGAGCCTGGATTCATCCCTCTGAGGATTTTCTCTTTCCTGACATGGTCTGGAGAAGTTTATTCTCCTTGTACAAAGCCATTGCCTATTCTTAAAATAAATACAAACCTTTGGGCTATCAATGGATTAACTCGAAAAAAAAATCTAGAAAAATAGGAGTATCTTTGCTTCAACGTGTGATCAGATTGCAGGCTACCTCTCTGTAAAATACTCGCACCTGACAACTGCAATAACTTTTATGAGCACTCAGTCCCACCCATGGGATTTAGGCCCATAAGAAATTATTTCACTTCCTCCACAGCTAGTGAGCATGTTCCCAAATGATGTCTGGGGCAACAGGAGCCAGTCTTAGCAGCCACCGCCGCTTTCTGCTTTCAACTCCCAGTCTCCTCTGTCCTCATCCCATTAAATTGTTGATCCTTGGGCAAAGCGAGGAGTCCAAGGGAAGGATGTGGCCATACCCATGACACGCCCTGTCAACAGCTCCCCTGTAAATCCCATCCTTTACGTACATTTGGGGCTGAGGTGCAGGGGTGAAAGATCACTAGCCCTTTGTTAAGCGTGGGAGGGAGTCAGGGGATGCCCATATGTCTGCTCACTGCTGCAGCCTCCCAACCTTAGCATGTTTTACAGCCTCTCTCCATCGCTTCCTTTCATTGGAATTTTTCATGGGACGTAATTTGCAAGTGCTTTTCATATGCAGGGTACATTTGATCGAAGCATGATGGGGAACAGGCTGTGCAGATGTTACTATGCTGCCTGCTGGAAATCTGTCCCTCGTGCAGGTGTTCTCTCCCAGCCTGATCTACTGCGGGAAAATTAGGGAGAACTGAAGTCCTGACATTGGGGATGCCTTCCTTTGTGTAATTTAAAGCGGCCTTAGGGTCCCAGGAGTTGCTCTTAGTTGCTAATGGCTTTCGACTGATCTTTTGGCTCGTGAATTATACCCACACCTCACTCTCCTCTGGTACCCACACAACTCCACCAGGCAAAATTATATTACAAATGGTACTATTAAAATATTTATAACATAAAGATTATTAATAACAGGCTTGATACGCTCTCCTAGGGAGAAGGGCTACAGAAAGAAAGGCAGGCTTTAGCCAGCAAAGGCAGCAACAGCATAGGGAAAATGGGATCCCATCTATATGGCGTCTCCTTGCCTGAGCAGCACACGGCTGCGCTGCCTACAGCCTGCACGTCTGCTTCGGCCTCAGCTGCAATTGTGTTTCTTATTCTGTCCATTATATAAATGTCACAACATTCCTCAGGATCGGTAGTGCTGCTTAAGGCAATGTAGAGAAAACTCAAGGAAAATTTTGCTTCACGTTTTCCTTTGCAAGTGTTACAGGAGAGCCTAAAATAGTGCCTAGCTCTTCACTGGGGGGAGCCTGAAACCCAGTAACAGTTCACTTTTTGACTAGTGTTTCTCTTTTTTTGATGTGATCTGTTTATTTTATTGGACTGACAGGGTTTTCTCATGTCAAAGACAAACTCTTTTAGTAATATCCTTGTCTGGCAGCATCCAAACCCAAAATCCAGTGTCTCTGAAACTGGGTGGCCCTGTCAGTCTGCAAACAATCGAATTTGCTAAAATTGTTTTTATGCCTCCACTTGTACAATGAAACTTTGTACATTAGGAACTAAACTATTGAAAGAAATCTGGATGTGGAACTGCTGAGACATATTGAAAAATACTTATTATAAACAATGTCTTATTTTTATTAATAAAGGAGTAGCGAAAGCCACATTGGGAAAGCTTTTCAAAGAAATGGTGTGGCAGATTAAAGGATACAGAAGGCCTGAGAAGTGAGTGTGGATACCGATATGTACAGCCAAGAGGTTAGAAATTAATCTACATTAAGCTTCACAACTTTAGCAATAGTATTTGTTATTGCACATGCTAACTGAGTGAAGAAAGTTAGTTTGCAATTGTTTGAGTACATGATGTAAAATTAAGGATCAAAACTAAAGCAGGAGATGATGAGCGCTCTGGAGCTTGGTGCTGCCAGATGCTGAGCATCTGTCCCCTGAAAAGCCCTTTGCGAGGAGAGGGCTGATCACCTACGCACTGCAATCAGCAGGGAACCCAGCCTGGTTTCAGCTGGGTCTGGATCAGGGTTGAAGTGCATTTCTTAGTTTAAAACACAAGTCTTTCTGTTTCACTTCATACAGCAGGATAATATTTTGCTGGGGTTTACCAGTCATTTGGGATAATGCGTAAAAATGCACATATATATAGCAAACAGCTTTTGGAAAACATGAGATCAGCAGTGCCTTGAATTATAAATTCTTATCATTTGAGAAAAAAAGGGGTTCATGCACAATCGAAAGGATCAATTTGGCATGGTTTGTCGTCTTTGCTCCGAAAGAAAACCTTTGAAATCGAAGAACCTGAACATTTCAAAATAAAATGTCTGGGGTTAATCTGTGGTTAATTTAATCATAAAAATTATATAGTTCTTAATTAAGAGGTTTGTAAAGTACTTCGGCTTGTCGTTCAGTTTACAGCTATATGTAATACCCTCCGAAAATCTTGCTCCAGTATCAGCTAACAAAACTGGAAAGTTTGTTTAGATTATTGTTCTGGTAGATAAGATAAAAGCTGTGATAACACTGCACAGTGATCATTGCCTTCTTATAGATAGGGACACCAGTGCACGGCTTACCCCAGAGGCTGCAGTCTGTGTGCTGGGAGAAGCGGTTTTGCTGCAGTCATCTGAGTTAGTAGAAGACGTGGATGTTGGAGTCATAGGAACCGCAGTAGTACTGTTACCTGAAAGATCGGGAACCGGTATTAAAAACAAATATTTTCCAGCCAGAGGAAAAAAGCTCTTGCAGCTTGACTGTGTCATCTTTTTATATTTACCAGAGTGTGGCTTTGACTTATTTATGTTCTTAGGTTTTCGCTTCCTGGTCTGAATCCCTTCTTTTTTCATAGCAAGAGGTCGGGGAACCTGAAAAATTAAATTTCCGCACCAATCGTAGAGTTTTATATGTACTCAAATACCAAAAAGCAAAATACAATTCGAAATCAAACAGTGATGTTGAAAATGCCTGTTGAATCATGTATAGCAAGTCAATTTTTCCTGTGTTATGACAATTCAAAAAAAACTTCGCATTTTATTTGGGCAAAGCAATAAATTGTTTCAAGGGAAGCTTTATCTGAATAAAGAGAGCAGGGAGACTTTTTTCTTTTTGTGATCTAAACAGTTGTTACCAACACCTCAGTCAGTCCGTAGATAAATGGCACTCTTTTAGGGGAAAACAGTATCGTTTGACCATCATTTGAAATGAAATTGGACGGTGTGTATCTGATCCCTGAATCCTTATTCCAGTCAGTCAGTTAGGAATTATCTCCCGTGACTGAATCAGGAAAAGAAGAATGCATACGAGGGGAAAAAAATACTCCTCTTCCTGTGGACCAGCTGCGCTAGTCAGATCATCACTGGTAAGCATCCTAGGACAAGAGTTTTATGCTATAATCAACTTAGTATTTGTTCTTATAAGCAGTTCTGTCCATGATAGAACTTCATAATATCCAAATTTATATTTATTATATTTCTGGGGAAAACGTGCTCAAAAATCAGCTTTGTGTTCTCTATCATCACAACGGCAATCATTACACAGAAAACATTGGCTTAAAATATTTTTTACCTTAATGATAACAGAAGTTTGGAAAAAGACAATTCAGAGATACGCTTACTATCATTATAATGTTTAAACCTGTGATATAACTTATGTTTTCCTTGAGGTCTAGACCAAGTCCAAATTACTTCTAACGCCGTTGCTCTTCAAGCACTTGTGCTTGACTGTAACTTAATCCAGAGGGGCATAACAGGCTCCAAGTCTCACCTAAAACATACTCCAGCACATTCAGGATAGAGCTATTTTCTTCCTGTATTATTGCCTAGAAAATGCTTGAATGACATTTAAAGTTGTGCTGGCACAGCTATGACTTGAATTACATTTAATTTTTTTGCTGGCATAGCTATGTCTGTCCATGAAAAACTGTCTTATTAAAGGTCTAGGATTTATTTTTTTCCCCACTGAAGAGCTGATTGAAATCCCAGTGGCAAAAATCATAGAATCATAGAATGTATTGGGTTGGAAGAGACCTTTAAAGATCATCTAGTTCTCCCCCAAAAAGACCTCTGCTGCTCAGCCAGGGGTAGTTTCTTTATAGAAATCTGTCACAAGAGCTACAATGGCAAACACATGACTTGTCAAAAGCGTAACTTTCTAAAACAATATAACAATTTTCGATTTTTGGCCATTTTATCTTTTTTTTTTTGACTCTGTGATCCAAACCATGAGCTGAAAACATTAGCATCAACAGAAACATTGCCCCAGCTTGCATAAGCCCGATGCCACCCTCTGAAGTTGTTAGGCACTGGACAGCGTGAGGACTAGACCAATCCCAAAGGAGCATCAGAGCTGGTGGGGAAATCTCCTGTGGCGAAGCAGCCGCTTACCCCGTGGAGCTTCATGTAGAGGCCACAGGCGTTGCAGACAGGCTCACCCTCCGCGTTCCTGCGCCACAGGGTGGTGGTCGTGGTGTGGCAATTGGCACAGGACAAGCCCAGCCGCCGGGAGGAGGGCTAGAGGCAAGCATAGGCAAACACAGGCGTAAACAGGCGGGCAGGAGCAAACGATTTATGTCTTTATGGTTTATATAAAGAACATTAACATGCAGCAGGGATGGTAGGAGCTTTTTTATAACATCTATCAGTGATGTCCCAGACTTAAAACAAGATTATCCTGGTAAACTGGAAAGCTGATGTGAAGAGGCACTGTGAGTCTGCAACTCCGGGCAGTCATGGCAGAGGCAAAATTTACATTTTGGGAGTCACTGACCTAGGGAGCTCTGTTCAAACCACAGGGCACTGGCTCTTTCTCCAGCAGGGAGAGCTAGGAAACATCTCCACTACAGCTCCATCCAGCTGAGGAGAAAGCATATCACGCCTGTACCACCTCTCCAGCCAGTCCAATGCCCTCTCCTCACTCTGCGGTGGACAAAGAGGCAGCTCTGAACCTGCCACCAATACTTCTAACTCATTGGAAAAATCAACTTAAATCACCACCCCTCAGTGGCACCATGGCTGTGGAAAACAAACTTTCCTGAGTGCCACATACAACACCAGCATCTTCGCAAAAAAACATCTTTTTATCATCGCCCATTTTATCCTGACATGAAAAAAACAACATGCCTCAGGAGGGTGTTCTACAGAGCAGAGCTTCCCCTCAGCCAGCAGAAAAGCTGGTGGGTGACAACAGGTCCACACTGCAAACAAGCCCTTTATGACACTCTTCCGTGGAGTTTGGAGCCAAGATGAAGCAACCTTGTAGCAGAAATAACAGTATAACCGGAGCTTTATGGCTGCAGGTTGTATATCATAAGTGAAGGCAGTCCTCATAAACATGTGAAATGAAGGTGAATGGGTTATAAAAGTCCCTGTAACAAGTGATCTCTTTTACGTTCATCACAAGCAAAGAATTCCAGCTACATCATAAATCTAGTCTTTTCTCAAAGTATTGCATTGTCAAAAAAAAAAAATAAAAAAAATCTGTGCCTAGCTCTGTGTCTGGCAGACGAACAAGTTTACACGGAGAAGTCAGTTTTAGAGGACTGCATTAATCTTATTCTGACTATAAAGCGCCCATAACTGAAATTACTAACTTAAGGGTACAATGCCCTTCCTCTTGAATCATTTACTGCTAGGCTGTTAGACGTAACTCGGTCACCTTTGATACCGCAGAGCTGCCTGCCACTTGGGAAACCAATAAAAATGTTTTGAGAATGAAGAATATTCCAGAGTAATAACTGAGTTTCTTTAGGAGTTTCATCTGTCTGAGTTCCTTTAACAGTAAGCTGTCATCTTACACCACAGCTCAGAAAGAGCTCTAGATTAAATAAGGATTTTGTAATTTTGAATCAGTAATACATTATTAATTGCACAGAAAAAAAAAAGCCGAATCTAGGTTGAAGTACATGAACATACTATTTAATCTTAATAATCCAGGTCTCATAAAAACAGATTTTTTGACCTCGTTATTAAATACGTATGCACACAGTGTCCCAATTACGGTTCTCGAATCAGTATGAGTTTTACATGGATCAGGTTAAAAACAAGCTGGTCTTAACACATATGCTTCATTTTCTTTCCTTACAAGTGAAATGCTATCAGATGATTCACTCTGTTAAATCTTCCTTTTGTATGCAGACCGGTATAAATCTTCATAGATTTTATTTCAATAGCTTTCGCTCATTCCCGTATCTAAATAAACAGAGGGGGTTTGGCATGTTTTGAAGCTAAAATGACTTTTCTGCTGCAGGAATTTTATCAGGAACTTTGGGGCAATCTAAACATGTTTAGCATTTTCAAAACATTTTCCCTTCTCACCTACATATTTCCAACTGTACGAACACACAGTCATGGTTGATTTATAGTTATGGCCAAGGCACTGGGCAGGGATTGTTACACAGAACTATTTCAGAGTTATTTTGCCGAGGTGTCAGGCTGAAATCAGGCTGTAGTTTGACTCTGGTTTAGTCTCCTCACCCCCACCCCTCCTTCAAAAAAAAAAAAAAAAGAATAGAAACTCAGAAATACCAGAGCCGGGTATCAGCTACTTGAAATCCGCACTGGGACAGAGTGCCGTGGCCAGTCAAGCTCTGACACTAGAGACAAGCGGCAGATCTGCCCCGTCTGCTGCGTTTGTCCCCAGCAGTAAGATAACACCTCCTGTCATGAAATTTAGTGAATGGCCAGCAAGAAAAAATGGGCACCCAGCAGTAATTAACCTCTGACTTAAAGTGAAATTAACTTTGGGTTAAAGAAAGGTCTTTAAGAAGAGGTGGGGTTGGTTTGTGAGCACTCACTGTCTGCTCTGATCATTGTGTGTTTGGTTTTTGTTTTCCCTGGTCTGTAAGGGCATTAAATTCAAATAGTTGTGAAATAAAGTACGGGATGTGTTTTAATGCTAGGAAAACAGGCACGGAGCAAAGCAGCTGGCGTGACTGAAAGGGGCTTGAAAGGCTGATGGGTTTGATACACTGTCTCCATACACAAGGGTCCAAACATCAGCTTGGATTATACCAGCGTGATTTATTGTGGCTCGCTCCGTAACAGCCATTACTGAAGAGCGTATTCATTCTCTCTGCTGACCTCCACCCAGATTTGCTAAACATAATGTGCAGTTCCCACTTGTTAAATTTTCTCCTTGCCTATTCAGTGCCAGCCTGTGTTATAAACAGGGGTCCTGGCTTGGAATATTTATTTCCCCCCCTAGTTTTAGGAGCATATTTTTAGAAAATTTGCCGCTCATTTCTTAGGAGTAAAACAAAAGAAAGGCTATTATTATTGTTTAAACAATTGGTTTTCTTTGAATTATATACAAAACTTGCTTACATTCCCAAGGATCGAGCTCTCAGCAAACAAAGCAGGTCTGGAGAAATTCCTAGCGCTCTGAACAAACACTTTCCAACCTTGATTTTTTTTTTCTGTTGGAAACATCCAACATCAGCAGCACAAATTTCTTCCAAGCTGTCAATGCCCCCTCACTGACGGAGTCCACCAACTCAAAAGGCCAGGCTGACCCGCACCCAGGGTGCAGCTCGGCCGGACCAGAGGGCAATTTTGACAGTGTGAGGCCCAGAGGTGGGCCCGAAGCGTTGCAGAAAGGGCTGCCAGCCCTGGCACTCATGCTGTGACCACTTTGGCCTTCAAAACTGGTCAAGAGCCCCCCTTCAGTTGTGCTGCCAGGGGATCACTGGGATAACAGTCTGAGTGCGCTCCCCCATTCTTGACCCCAGCTTTCCCCTTGGCAAGCACTGACTGGGGGTCCCTTGGAACGCAGGTCCTCTTGCCCCCTTCCTCCCCGCTATCCCCACTCACCACTCGCTTCTGGGGCTTGATGAGGGGCCGGCTGAGGCCGTTCATTTTGGTGTAGAGACCGCAGGCGTTGCACAGGTAGTTGCCGGTGCCGTCCCTCCTCCACAGCGGGGTCTGGATGGAGCCGCAGTTGACGCATTCCCGGCTTTCGGACAGGTCCTCCAGCAGCTCTGGGGGGCAGGAACAGAATGGAGAGGCGGTGGGCCACGGCCGCAGGCAGGCGCGGAGACCCACGGAGCGGTGGCC